ACGTCCCGATCTCCGACCGCGTGGTTCGCTCAATGCCGGAAGCCCTTCTTCGCTCCCGGCTCTCGAGAAGACCCGCTAAAGGGCCCCTGGGCCATCAGAGGTGGACCCCGGGGCGAAGAAGAGCGGGGGAGGGCCGCCCATTGGCATCGCATCGTCGGATGTCACATACGATGAGGGCATTGAATAAGAACATTACTTACGTATAGTACGTATAAGGAATAAGGATTGAAATATTCACCTGCTGGCGATAGTACGTATAGTACGTATACTACACTTTTTAAAAACTCTTCGAGCGGGCGCGAGCACCCGCGTGGTCATGCCACAAATTCTCGGGCAGGCCGCAGGCCCGCGCAAACGGCGCGGGACTGCCGAGGGCCCCACGGCGGCCGAGGGGGGCGCTCACCAGCGTCGGCCCCGCCTCCTCGCCGCTCGCGGGGCCGCCGCGCCGCGCTCCCTCGCGCGGTCACGCTCCCCGCGCGCCTGGGCTGCCTCTCGCCCTCGGGCGCGGGCGTCGTCCGCCGACGCGAAGCCGTGCGAGCGGAGGACGCCCACCAGGTCGGGCACGAAGAGCTCCTGCAAGCCCGCGCGCACCGCGGGCTGCACCGCCGCCGCGCCCACGGCAGCCGAGGCGCTCGCCGAAGCCGCCGCCGCTCCGCCCGCAGGCCCAGCCGCGCCAGCAGCACGCCCCGCCGCAGGCAGTGCAGCCGCGGGCCTTGGCGAGCCTCCAGGGCCGCCAGCCCGCGCCGCCGCCAGGAACTCGCCCACCTGGGGGTTGGGCCAGTCGAGGTCGTCCACCTTGAGCGACCTTCGCCAGCGCTGCATCTCCTCCAACGTCGGCGACTTGAGCATCACGATCGGCGGCTTCTCCTTGCCTGGCAATCGCAATCTGCCGAAGTCAGTCCTGGCCTGAGCACGCGACCCTTGGCTCGATCTGCGATCTCCACCGACACACGGCTTGGCCAGGCCCCTGTGCGCATACCGCGGCTGGTGGCAGTACATGAAGCAGCGCGTGCACACCAGGATGGCCTCGCTCGGCTTGCTCACCACGTTGGTCTGCATTATGTTGTGGCCGTGCACAACCCATGGCTCTGGTCCAGCCGTGGGGGCAGGTGACGGGCGCTGCTCCTCTAGCTGGGTGCGCTGAGAGGACTCTGCGGACGACCTGGCCTCCGCCCTGCGCCGAACCTCTCTGGCAAACACCTCGCTCGCTGCCTCAGCACGAGAAATGCCCCCCTCGCCTGGCCCCGCGGCGATGGGGGCGGCCGGGGCGGAGGCGGCCCTCAGCGCAGCCGCTGGGCGCTTGCGAACAGGCCCCGCTGCGCCGCCCGCGGCACCTGCCGCAGCACCTGTGGCCGCTGCGCTGGTCGCTGCCGCCGCGGCGAAGGCTGCCGCTGACACAGCTGCCGAGCCTCTGCCACGCTGCGCCATGGAGGCGTCCAACAAGTCGTAGTCCTCGTCCTCGCACGACAGGTTCCACGGGTAGAGGTACGGCTGGAGGTTGGCGTTGTCCAGGGCTTCCGTCGGCCAGCAGTCTCGCGTCCCAGAATCCATGATGAAAACCTCGATCTCTGCGGCGAAGCGAGCTGCGTCGCGAGCCCTGGCCAAGCAGCCCTCCAGGAGCTGGACATCGTCGGCTGGAAGGGCGTGGAGGGCGGCTCCTTCCTTCGCTCGCTTGTCGGCTAGGCGGTTGCCGAAGAGCTCGATAGCCGATAGCTCCCCTCTGGCCACAGCTGCTTCTGACCGATGTGCAGGAATGTGCTTGACTTCAACACCTTCCGCGGCGTCCCCAACTCTGGCCCAAAGATGGGCGTAGGTCGAAGTTGGGCCCTGAGCTCTGCCAAGGTTGAGCGCCGAGTCCACTGTGCCCTTGCAGTCGATCAGCAGCTGGTAATTGCCAATGACCTCCGTGAGCGCCACCACCGCTGCGTAGTCTTCTCCAGCACGCGCCGTCTGCGATGGGCATAGACTAGGGGGAACAGCCCCCCACGCCTCTGCTAGGATCGCCCCTTCCTTGGACAAAACGACGACCGACCAGCCAGCGCTGCGCAGGCGCGGAAAGTCACCGAGGATACAGGAGCCGTCGGTGAAAACCATGGCACCGTCTTCGACCACAACTGCTTCATGCCAACCATGCGAGAGCCGCTCCCATTGAGGCTGCCAGCACGGACGGTGCAACAGCTGGGAGGGATCCACGAACAGGCCCTGGCAGAAAAGCTCATCGAACGGCGGGCCCATCTCGTGGACTAACCAAGCTGCACGCTTCAGGTCGGACGGCAGCCTGTCGCGCCGCCAAGGTTCCCAAGCTGGGCAGACGTGGTGCCTGTGGAACATCGTTCCTCGTGCAGCCTGGCATAGCTTGCAGATCGGGTCGATGTCAGAGGAGTGCCTCGCAAGACGGCCCTGGGGCCAGTGCGAGAGCGAGACGAGCCAGCGGAGGCACCCTTTGTGGTGCCCTGTCCAGGTCTCCGTCTCCTTCTTGCCGAGCAGCTCGTTGACTGGCCTCCACTGTGGCGGCAGCTTCCATGGCCAGAGCGACCCAGGACGATCTCGAGCCTCCTCCAGCGCGGCCGCTTTCCTCGTGGCCTCTCTGGCCCACTCCGCCAGGAACGCGGGCGAGAAATGCAGCACCTCGAACTCCCTCTTGTCCTCGTCCAGCAGCTTGGTGCCGTCGACGGCGAGCTGCCAGCCTATCCTCTGCAGAGTGAGCGTGAGCGCCGCTATCGGCTGACGGACCGAGCTCCAAGGCCGCTGCTTGCTTAGCACCTGCTGGCTTTCCTGGATGCACGCTTGGATGGCTGATGCAGAGGCTTGCCCAGACCACACCACGTTGACGAATGCCTGAACTGCCATTCCCGCTGCGACCACCAGCGGGTCCTGCCGCCAGCCGCGGGGCGCACACTGCAGGGCAAAGCTGAGGGCCGCTCCAGGCGGCAGGCGACCCGCGCTCTTCGCAGCTGCCACCCTCAGCGCCCTCATGCGCCCAGGTGGGACTCCAGAAATGGCCGAGCCCCAGAGCGCCTCGGCGGTCGGCCCAGCTCGCATCACCCGAGCTTGCCGCAGCCCAGGCCCGAACATGCGTGTCAGTCTCGCTGCCTGACGGAGTGCATCCAGCTCCCGCTTGACCTGCGTAGCCACCATACGGTGACCACCAGCCGTCGCGTCACCACCGAGATCTCGGTGTCCTTGAGCAAAGGCGGCCCTGTCCAGCGGCCACCCCTCCTGCTTCATCAGCTCGCGCTGGGTGTCCACTGAGGATGCCAGTACTTTCGTCTTGCCCCAGTTGATCGGGAGCCGCTTGTCTCTCAGCATCGCCACGACGCCCTGGACGAAGCTGTTCACCTGACTGACTAGCACGCCTCTGGATCCGATACCATTGCCCGAGATGTCGTCGATCACGTTGACGATCCTCCCGATGGGGAGCTTGGCTCGGCTCTTGACAAGAAGGTCCATCAGCATGAGTCTGGCCATCGTTGTTGCACACGAGCAGCCAGCTATGACCGTGCCCCTCGCATGTATCTCCTCGCTGACGGCGCTGTCTGCCGTAGCTCTCCTCGGACCCGAGTACGCCACACAGAGCGCACGTACCAATCCTGTGCAGAAACCATTAAGCTCGGCCGCGTTCAGAAGCAGCCCGTGGTCGATCCGCTCGTAGAACTTACTAATGTCAAAGTACACCGAGACACCGTCGAAGCCGACCTTCCGAGCGAGGCCTAGGTACAGGTTGTGCAAGTACGCTGCTCTATCGCAGCAGGTGTCAGAGCTGCTGCCCCAAATCTCAGGAAGGCGGTGGTCACGCTCCCATTGTAAACAATACTGCCTGCGAATCCTTCCCCACACTCTGAGCCAAAAGCACATCAGGCCGATGGAGCGATGTCCTCCCCCAGGCTTGCCCAAGAAAACGATGAGCGTGGTGAACATCGCCGTCGGCTGCGGGTGCCTTTCCCATTGCGTCAGCACGTCCGCCATGCGCTGCGCAAAAGGCCATCCTAGCATCTTCAGCAGCCTGGGGTGGAAGCCATCCCAACCGAGCGCCGTATACTACACTTGAATAAGGAACCTTTGGATAAGGAATCCAGGGTCTGGAAGCCAGTGGAACTCCAGTCGTGGACTGACCATGGGTATCACTGCCGCCCTCAGCCGATAAGGAATCCTCCAGGGTCTGAAGCCCCCTGGGCGCATTCCTGAACCAAAGCCCCCACCGCAGGCCCTTGGGGGGAAGGGGAAATTGAACTCCGTCTTCGGGCTGCGCGGGCCCTTCCAGGGCCCTGAAGCGTCCAAAAACGACTCGGCGACTGGTCCAGGGGGAAACCCCCGGCCAGGGTCGAGGACGCGTTTCCTGCAGGACCGATCTCGTTCCGGGCGGTGTGGGGGGGGTGCCGGGACGTGGCCGTCTGAGAAGGAGGCGATGGCGCCGTGAGGCGGGACATTCGCAATAGAAGGGTGGAGAAGGAGGAGGAGGAGGAGGAGGAGGAGGAGGAGGAGGAGGAGGGGGGAGGAGGAGGGGAGGAGGAGGGGAGGGGGGGGAGGGGGAGGAGGAAGAGGAGGAGAAAGAGGAGGAAGATGGCTGCGATGCAGCGAGCGTACCAAGCAAGAGTGGACGGGGATCCACAACCAAGAGCAGAAGTAAACCAGGAGTAAACGTGAAGGGGGGGGCAGGAGAACTGGCATCGAGACGTCGAGACCTCGGCGTTCTGGGACATCCGGGAGGCTCCTGGTCGTCACTGCTGAGTCCGTCTCGGAATTCCGGCACGTAATGAGAAGAGACCCACGCGATGACCAGAACATGACCTTAAGACGCATCGAGCGAGGTCTTGAATTGCGTGCTGACGGTTTTGCGCCCCCTGGCGCGGAAATGGCGGAGGTGGCCCAGGCTGCCTCCTCAGGCAGGCATGATGCTCCATGCCTCGATGGACGGAACGACCTGCCCCCTCGGGCAAGATCAAAGAGACATGGCCACTGTTCTTCGCCTAAACCTAATCCTCACCCTTATCCTCCTCTGGCTCCGCCTTCTCCCCCTCCATAAAGAAAATCGAAACGCACAGGAACTACCCGCAGCGTCATGAATGACAAAACGCACACGCACCAGCCACTACTAGGTGCGCACAGTAACCACCCAATGCGAGGTCACCAACAACACCTATCAGTCCAACGCTATCCGCTGGTACGGGGGCTGTCGGTATCACATGCCGCCTTAAGCTTGGGGGGAATCAACGCGGTGCACCTAATCATCTTAGCGTCACCCACTGCAATGCGGAACATTTGCCACATGCGCCATAAAGCGTTCTGCTGCACGTACAAGACACCGTGCTTCCTGCAGATACTCTTAATCAACGGCTGCAGCTTTCGGTACTGCAGTAGAGACATGTCTGGAAACATGTGGTGCTCGATCTGGTAATTCAGCCACCCATACACGCAGTCGATGAGGTCGTTCCCGCACTCGAAGTTAACGGAGGAGTGCGCGCAACGGCAAAACCACTCCGCACTGTATACCTTGCACGACGTGTCATACCGGTACAGGTCTTCGCCCGCGTGATTGCAAACGATTATAATAAAGGAGTGCGCGTTCGTCAAACACTCGGCGAGAAAGGCGACGGCGAGCGCCCTCCATGCCGCATCCACCGGTGCCGCGGCGAAAGGCCAAACGCCCATGGTGCTCAGAAGCAGCGGTGTAGCCGCGGGCAGCGCCACCATGGCCGCCATGGGCACGACGACACCGAGCCACAGGAACAGGAAGCACGCCCAAAAGGCGAACTCGCCAGGGGCCCCCCTCAATAACGCCCTCGCTGGGTGCTCAAAAACTATGTAGTACAACAGCAAGGGTTTCTCACGACTTGTGCCGGCGGGCCAGCGCTTCGACAACCAGGATCCAGAGCAGGCGAACTGCAGCTCCTTGAACGTGTTCGGTGAGTAGTAGGTGTACTTCCAGCTGACAACCCAGACCAACATGGACAGGTACTTCAGGACCCTCGGGATGGGGAGCACATGCATGACCTCGAAATTGTTTTCGACGAGATCGGGATCCTTATCCTCCGAAAGGTACAGGTGGTGCATGCTGTTGTGCTCGGCGTCCCACGCCTCTGGCAGCATCCAATCCATCCAGTCCAGCACGCGGCGCGCGCCGATCGCAAACCTGCCGCGCTTGTACTGCGGCTCCAGGCACCCCGGCGCGCTGCGCTGCAAGCCGTCGTAGCCGCCGTGCATGACATGGTGCCCGACAATGGCCCACTTCATGCATCGCCCCGTGCTGATCATGGCCGCCGCCAGCAGGCAGGCAGCCGCCGCGGTGGGGCCCCAGGCCCGGGCCGTGCCGAGGAAGAGCAGCGCGTGGCCCCCGTAGAGCAGCACCTGCGTCGCGCGCACGATGCCCCGCAGGTGCCTCGCGTCCGCCGCCGTGGCCTCGCCGACCGCGGCCTTCGCCGCCAGCACATCGGCGAGGAAGGCGTCTCCGTCGATGTCGTTCAGCACATATTCCTCGGCGTCCGCCATCGCGGAGGCCTGGACTGCAGACTAGAGGGCTGGGAAAACAAAAAGCACGCTGGAGCCACCAGCGCTGGAGCCAACAAAACTACGTCCACGAAACAAAAGGACGATACGACCAATACCCCCACGAATCACAGGCAGCTCCCCGCTATGGCCCACGGCCCGCCCAAATGGCGAGGTATCTCTCCAGTGTTTTTGGTTTGGTTCATATATACATACATTTGTGTTGCCTCTGTCTCTCTCTCTCTCTCTCTCGCTCCCTCTCATTATCTGTCTCACTATCTTTCTCTCTCTCTCTCTCTCTCTATTTCTCTCTCTCGTTCTATTTCGTTATGTGATGTATTGTCTCATTCTCTCTTTATTTATCTCTCTCTCTCTCTCCTTACATATGCATACATGTGCGTGCATGTATATGTATATACACATGTGTATATATATATATATACACATCGTGTATATATAAATACATATATCTATATACATATATATGTATGTATATATGTATGTATGTATGTATGTATGTATGTATGTATGCATGCATGTATGTATGTATGTATGTGTATATATACATATATACATATATACCTATATACATAGATGTTTATATATATATATATCCCTACCTCCCTCCCTCACGTTATTTCTCTCTCTCTCTCTCTCTCTCTCTGTATTTCCGTTTCTCGTTCTCTCTCTCTCTCTCTCTCTCTCCCTCTCTCTCTCTCTCTCTCTCTCTCTCTCTCTCTCTCTCTTTCTCTCGTCCTATCTATACGTAACGATTGATGCAAATGTCCATACACACATATGTATATATACATATATATATATATATATATATATGAATACATATACACGAGTACACATATACATGTGATTGTGTACAGAAGCATAGATCGATTAATGAGCAAGGTTGCCAAACGAATCACAAGTTCAGGTGCCACCTCTCGTTGTGAATAAATATAGACGGGGCCCTCAATCCATGGTGGCCCTAACAAATTGCTTGCCTTGTCAAATCGTGGCCCGTTTGGACAAAAGCGGTGCGTCTGACCGTCCTGCCACTCAGCCCTGCGCGCAGCAGCATCCCCGCGATCAAACTCAGCCATCAAATTGGGACACAGTGGCGTGATCGAAGAAAGCTGGGACTAGCACTGCGTCCTGCGCTTATCGCTCAAGTGGGCGATCGCTCTCAAACTCGTGCTAAACTGGGCTTTGCAGATTGGGCACGTCGCCGTGGCGGCCACGTACAAGCGTGTTTGGCACCAGCGCGTGAGGCAAATGCGAATGTGGGAGTTCAAAGCATTTTCTGCAGCAGGAGAAACTGGAACACCGCCAGCCGCGGCACACCGCGGGCACACAAAAGGGCGAACCATTGCTCCTGGACAGGCAACGGCATCAGCAAAGTACTCAGCATAGCGGAACTGGTCTACAAGCGCTGACCAGAAACTGCCACAACCATGGTGAAGCAATGCCAATTATTTTGGTCGTCCTTGGGTCGCTTTGGGGTCGTCCATCTACATGCGTATACATCCGCCACCGTGCCGGCGGGCATGGAATGAGCCATCCGTCTAGTATTATTGAGGAGTCTTGCTGGGGCCTGGAGCCCAAAGTCACGAATCTCCGGGCCCTTCCCGCATCTTCTCGGGGCTTGTCGCGTGACCGCATCGGGCCCAAAAGCGCACCAGAACGGACCAAGAGGGCCCTTAAGACGGTTCAGGAGGGCCCCGAGTCGCCGAACGATCGCTCCAAGACGCTCAAAGTGGCCCTCAGACGGTCCAGGAGGCCCCCAAGACGCCCCAAGAGGAGGCCTCCACGAGGCCCCCAACGAGGCCCCGAAAAAAACAAAAATCCTTGATTAGCCTTCGGATATTGAAGGTTGTTGGCGTTCTCGCTTTTTCGGCTTCCCGACAGGCCCCAAAAATCGCCCCGAGACGGCCCATGAGGCTTCCAAGACAGACCTAAAGAGGCCCGAGACCGCCCCAAAGACGGCCCAAGAGGCGCCCAAGACGGCCCAAGAAGCCCCAAAGACAGCTCTGAGAGGGGGGCCCGACGGGGGATCCCGAGGGGACATTTCGAGCCTTTGGCCCCGAGGGGCCCCCAAGAGGTCGAAGAGGCCCCCAAGAAGCCCCAAGAGGCCCCAAAGAGGCCCCGAGCAGCCCCCAAAGAGGCCCCCAAGCGGCCCCGACAGGCCCCAAGAGGCTTCCGAGAGCGCCCCGAAGAGATTTCAAGAAGCATCCCTGCGAACTCTGGCCCACAACCCACGCACGGTGGTGTAAATATTAGTACACATGTGTATATATATATATATATATATATATGTGTGTGTGTGTGTGTTGTGTACAGGTAGTGTACACACGGAATGTTATTCGGTATATACACACGTGTGCACACATTAATATAATGAATACATTTTCGTGGATAAAACATTGACCTGGCACATCTCCGGGCCCGTCCAGGGAGCCTGTTTCCGGACCTCCCCAAAAGGGCCCAAGACGGCCCCACACGGCCCTAAGACGGCCTGGAGGGCCCCAGGAGGCCTCAGGAGAGCCCGGCGAACGCCCACTGACGGCCACGATGGGCCCAAAGATGGTCAAAGCTGCGCTCTTTTTTGATGGACAAAAAAGGAAGGTGGGCAGGCCAAGCAGCTCCTTGGCGTCGTTGCCAAAGTCGCGCCGCAGTAGCGTCTCCCAGCAGCCCGCCAGCCGGGCGTCGTAGCGTCGAGTGGCCTCTTCGCTAGCCAGCTCCTGCCGCAGGGCGTTCTGGCTGGCGGCGCCGGCGTAGGTTTGCAGCAAGGCCGCGGTAGCCTGCTTCTTCAAGCCCGCCTGGTGGAACCAGAAGAGCGTGTCCCAGAGCTGCTGCAGCCGCGAAGCAGCGTTTTCGAGGCCGTCGGCGCGCGCCCCGAAGGCTGCGGGGTTGTCCTCTGAGTCTCCCCGCGGCCTGAGGTGCTTGCCACGCACTGGGTGAACGGCCACGTAGCGGGGGTGCAGCGCAGGCGGCACCACCGCGATCCCGCGCGGGGACCGCACCGCGGTCTTGGCGTGGTTGAGTTCCAGGCCGCAGGGCTTCAGGGCTGTCTCCAGTGCAGCGAGGACGTTCGGAGAGAGGCCAGCGTCGACCACGAGGTACGCGTCGTCGAAGTAGGAGTAGCGCCTGGCAGCAGGGTCCAGCCTCTGGAGTTGCACCCAGAAATCGGCGAGAGCCTCGCGCTGCGCCACCGAGAAGCCAGCGGGGGAGAAAGGGTCACCTTGGTCGAAACCCATGCTGCTCGGGACCTTGTGCAGCGCCCCGCCAGCGTCCCTCCAGTAGTGGCCCACTGGGCCCCCGTACCAGGTGGACAGGGCGGCAGCCACAGCGGGGTCGTGCCTCGCCATCGATGCGGTGGCAGGTTGGCGTCTCAGTCTCTAGAAAACCGCCTTCAGGTCTAGCTTCAGAAAGGCAGCTTTGGGTCTGGCCTCCGCGTGTGCTTCCAGACGCCGCAGTAGCAGGTCCGCGCCCTTGTCTCCCCACGCCGTACTGGTGCTCGCCAGCAGCGCTCGTCAGCTGCTCCGCGGCCGACCAGGGGGGACAAGAGGCCGAACCCCCCCGACGGCCCAGCTGGGCATGTTACCCACGCCGCTTGTCTGCCCCTTTGCTTGCTCCCCCAGCTGAGACGACTGGGCCGCCAGCCCCACCAGCGGCTCCATCCCGCCCAGCTCCATTGGCGCCCAAAGCCTCGGCAGCCCCGGCACGCACGTCGACCCGGGGAGAGGCGTGGCTGGCGGTGGCTCCGCCACCGCGGGCGCCAGGAGACTCAGGAGCCGCACCATCTGGACCAGGAGCAGGAGGTGCCGACTGCCCGCGCGTCTCGGCCCCCGCCTGCTGCTCGCCGTTCTCCTTTTTTCCGCTTCTTGGAGAGCCTGTTCATGTGCTTATCGATGCTCACGCTGCAGCCGCTCCGCCGACTCCTTGGCCGTCCCGAGGAACTGCTTCGCCATGTCCTGCTCGCCTTTGGGGAACTGGTCCTGGCGTGCCGCCGCCTCCTTCTTGTCCGTCTCGCTGAGCTCGTAAATGTCGGTGGGGCCGAGCATGTCCTCGCATCCTGCCAGGTGGATGCACGCGAGATCGTCCTGCAGCAACTGGTCCAGGGAGAGTTTGGCATGCTCGCATTGCCCCTACTTCTGCTTGTTCGCTTTCGTGCACATATAACCGATCAGGTCGCGGTAGTCACTGTCCGCCGTCTGCAGCCTCCCGGTGAGCGCCGCGACCTCGGCCTCCTGGTCCTCTACGCCGAGCCGCAACCGCTTGAGCTTCTCGACGGCCGTGTCCAGCACCTTCTCGAGGTGCTCGACCTTCTGATGTGCACGATGGGCCCGCGCCTGGAGCGGGGGCGCATTGGGGGCCACAGCATCGCGCTGCTTGTACTCGAGGAGCCGCTGGTACTTGGAGACCAGGCTTGAATCTCCTGCCTTACGGCCGAGGGCCACGAACTGCTCGATCTCCTTGATGCTGAAGTCCTTGTCCCCCCTGCCGAGGCTTGGTGGCGGCTGCAGACCCACGGCCATGGGAAGCTCATCCTCCAACGCCTGCAGCTCAGGCTCCTCCTCCGTCGTCTGGACATCCCAGGCCACGCAGCAGTGAATGCAATGCCACTGGTGGTAGGGATTCGTCTTGCATTTACAGTGCTGGCACTGCCACTTGCGCGTGGGAACACCAGACCTGCTTGTCCGTTTTCCATCATCCTTCCATGACACACGCTTCTGGTGCTGACCCGCTGCCTCACCATCGCCTAACGCCATGAAGGCCTGAGAAGCAGGGGGTCGAAAGAAGGAGGGCACAATACTGATCTCGAGAGACACAAAAAGACCCTCACCTTTGGCAGGGCTACTCGAGGATGGTCGTGCGGGTCCCTCGACCACCTCGAGCCCCAACCCCAGGGAAGGCGAAGGCCCTGGGCAGTGGCCTTGAGCCAAAATGGCTACAGACTCCTCCTCCTCCTCCTCCTCCTCCTCCTCCTCCTCCTCCTCCTCCTCCTCCTCCTCCTCCTCCTCCTCCACTCCTCCTCCTCCTCCTCCTCCTCCTCCTCCTCCTCCTCCCTCCTCCCTCCTCCTCCTCTCCTCCTCCTCCTCCCTCCTCCTCCTCCTCC